CCCCAAAACCCCAAAACCCCAAAACCCCAAAACCCCTTATTAGAGTCACCACAATGAATATTTTTGGAACTAGTGTTCTTTGGTCAAAGTTTTTAATTTATTGATCACCAAACTGGCTAGACTCCTTCTTCTCCTCTCCATCGTCTAGAAGACTTGCTGATCTGTACTCTGCTTTATTCTCTAAGTCATATCTTCCGAAGGGGTTCCACACAAACACTATTAAAAAGCTCAACAAAGGAATTGCAAAGATGATATTACAAACGATCACATCAATAGTCTCTTTAGGCTTGTCTTTCCGAGTGATATCTCCATACACAGCCATGGTGGACAGAAACAGAGCAAAGACTGGACAGATGTATTTTAGACAGATAACGTACAGCTTGGGAGTTGTCTCTCCGAACTTCTTGATTCTTTTCAAGAGGTCCTCAAGAGGTAAGAAATAAACAAAGAGAACTATCTGTACAAAAGAGAACACTACTAGATTTATGGTTGCTGAGTAGCGATCAACATACTTTAGCCAATAGTAGCCAGCACTTGAGGCAAAAAATGCCAGGTTGAGGATGAGTATAATCAAGCAGAAGATAAGAGTCATAACTATTTTCTTGCCCTTGAATTTCTTTCTTCTGTTACATACTCCATGGAATATGTCGCTACAGACTTCAACATAGATGTATTCGGTTCCTAGTCCTAGGGATGTCATCATTGTGAAGAACAGGATACTCCAGAGATTAGGCCATGGTAAAGTATTGATCAGTGCTGGGTAGACCACAAAGCTTAGTTCCATCCCTTGCACATTCATATCATCAATTGGGATTCCTGAAGTATAAGATGCATGTCCAACGAATGAGAACAAAGCAAGGGAGGCAAATAGAGAAGTGGCAAAGTTTAAACATGGAAGAAGTATTGAAGAACTCAGCAAAGGCTCATCATTCTTCCTATGTGATGCAAACTTAATAAGAGTATTATTAGCAAGTCCTGACGAGAATATAGCTTGTCCAGCTCCATCACTCCATATCGACAGAGTCCATAGCTTGGACCAATCAGGTTTGTACAGGTAGGCCCAGCCACTAGAGAATCCTTCGAGGGTAATTCCTTTGATGAAGAAGACACCTAGGATAAAGTAAGGGAGTGGCACTACAAAGTATGATACATACTTTGCAGAATGAATCCCTCTGTAGAGAGTAAAGAATACAAAAGCCATTATAAGCACAAGAGAGAACATGATTGTTGGGTTGTATGACCTTATATCAAAAAGACTGTCTGATTTATCCAAGAACTCACCAACAAAATATCTATTTGAAAACACTTCAATTTTACCATCTTCATTGACTTTGGGAGCCCATGGGAGTGGATCTTGGAAAGAGTTTAGCAGGAATGCAAAGCACCAGCTTATCAAGCATAAGAAGTAAGTGCCAGTAAAGAAACAGATTGCAGCAACAGTGAATGTAAGTCCTAAAAGCTTAGGATTAATAGTATCATAATATCGGTGAAGAGCCTTCCTATACATTTGCCCATAGGCAACCTCCAAGTAGAAAGAAGGAAAAACATAAATGATCAAACAGGTGAGATATGGAACAAAGAAGGCCCCTCCTCCATGTTGATATAGCATATACGGAAATCTCCAGATGTTTCCATAACTCACTGCGTAGCCTAATGTTGAAAGCAAGAACTCAATTTTGTTGTTATATGTTCCTTTGGCCTTATTATTGTCGTATGTTTCTCTGCTTATTTCAAAGCTTTGCAGCTGATAGCTCTCTCCTCTTGAGTTGCTGCTAGAATCCTCATTTCTATTCATTTTAACACAATATTTATTAACTTCAATGATAATTTAAAATAGAGGGGTTTTGGGGTTTTGGGGTTTTGGGGTTTTGGGG